CCCACAAAACGCATGTACGGTAACATGGCAGCACATATATCTCAAAGCGCTCGCAAAACGCGCGTTTTAACAAAAATCTATAAACGCGCGTTAAACGCGCGCTTGGCGTTTGAGTGTGTATGCCTACATAGAACTCTTGGTTCTTTAAAACGCGCGTTTTAAAGAACCAAGTGCGCATTTAACACGCGTTGAAAAACGCCTAGTGTGTACACAGCCTAAAAGATGAAAAAATAACTAGATTATATTTTATAAGAAAGGTAGACTCTTCTATTGTTAAAATACAGTTAAGTTCATCCCAAGAAAAAACCTAATATTGTCAGCTTTTTAAAATTGTAAAAAAGGAACTCATGATCAGTTTTTCAAGAACCTATGAATGAGTTCTGATTTGACTCAAAAAACAAGAGAATGAAGGACAAAAATTTACCTTTTTATATAGACAAAAAAGAAAAGGATTAATATTAAGGAATGATTTTATAATTTATAAAAACAAAAAAATTTACATATATCTATACTAATGATGGTCTGGTTGATGCTAAGTCGTTTTTAGATGTAGAAATCACTTAAATAACTTATTTTGTTCAGCCAAAGATATGATTAACCAGAGTACAGTAGTTGACTTGGACTGTTTAGATTTATTATTTAATGGAATGTCCAATGTCAAAATTATCTGTTGGAATATGCAGGGTGCAAGAAGTAAGATTTTTTTCAACTTATTTTAACAAAATTTTAACAGAATATGATATACTTGCTTTAGAAGAAACATGGATAACAAAATTTACTGAAATGGAAATGCCACTCCTCCAAAGTTTACATAATTATATTTTGGTCCAAGCCATTAAAAAACCTGGTGTAGGTAGACCAAAGGGTGACATGTTACTATTAATAATGAAAAACTTTGGGAGAAATTGTTTACTCTCATTGATGTTCATTTTTGATATTTGCTATGATCAAACTTAACAGAAGTAATTTTAAGATGTTTCCAGATAGTTATCTGGCAATAGCTGTGAACTATATGCTGCCATACAAAAATATTCTGAATCCCTTTGATGAATTGGAGAAGATTATGGAGAGCTGGTTATATTTGACTTCTTGGTTGATAATTGGCAATTTTAACACTAGAATAGGAAGTGAATATGACACAAATTATTACTGGAATAACTCCACTGTCTAAAACAAAAGAATGAGTCATGATTCTGGAACTAATAATAAAGGAAGATTATTGTTAAATTTTGTTCAAAGTTATAACCTGTTTGTCTTAAACAAGCACTTTGTTGGAGATTTCCCCAGGTTGTTATAACCATATCTCTCATAAGGAAGCTACAATAATTGACTATGTTATAAGTTCAGAATTTTTGTTGGACTACTATACTAAATTTGAGGTTTCTGAGGTCAATATGTCCAATCATTTTCATAATCAGCTGACAATAGGATGGTGCTTAAATAATTCATCCTTTGAATTACAAGGAAATGTAAATATGATACTTTGAACAAGAGATTGGCGATAAAACAAGATCAATTCAGAACATAGCATCAATAAAAGGTCTTGATTTCACTTATAGTAAAATAAGTGAAATTTTTAGTAATTACACAATTGAAATGAATCCAATAGAGTTATATATTACTCTAAGATATTGATAGCTTTAAATTTAAGCATGAATGGTATGACTTAGACCAGGGATGGCAAATGTTTTTGAACCCCCATGCCATATAGTAAGCATACTTAGCTTTAAAGATGTTTTGGTGCGCCAAAGTTTTAAACTTCGAATAATGATATTTAAATAAATTAAACGAATATGCTTAAATTAGAATAAATGTAAAAAAGCTGATTAAAAAAGGATGATTGAAAAAGACAGATGATAAATCGAAATATGATATGTTATGAGCCAAATAATTTCTCCTTACATGTCACTTTGGGCACACATGCCATAGGTGCATCACACCTGACCTAGACTGTTTTAAAGCCAAAAGATTAAAAGAAAAAGCACTAACTGTATTTTTTAAACACAGATCAAGAGAGCTATGGATAGAATATATTATTTGCAAGAAAAGCTACACTAATCTAATAAAAGAAAAAAAGAAAAATTATTTAAGCACCATCCTATTGTCAGCTGAATAGGAAAATGATCGTACAACAAACATACAGCATATATACTTTCATACAATACAGCAAAAATTCTTCCTTTTTTTTGGTCAATTGTTAAAAAATATCACCCAAGAAATATAGTGGAGGAAGATGATTCTATTGTTTTTAACCAGTAGTATGAATTTTTCATGGAGTGGTCAAAGGGGATGCAGATTAATTCATATGAAATTGACTTGGATAGTTTGAAAGAGGTGGATGTCAGGTGCTAAACCTGCCTATCCAGGGAGTGGAAATAGCTGAGATTATTGGTAATTTGAGAGAGAAAAAGCAGTAGGTCCTGATTCTGGTTAGTTTTTTAAAATGGCTGCCAGATGAAGCATATATACAAGAGAGAAACTTTTCTGGATTTGTGGAATTCGGTATAACTCCAGATGATTTATAAAAGGGAGGAGAAGTCAAATCCTAGTAATTACAGACCAATTGTTATTTTATCAATGCTTAGGAAAAGCTTTACAACTATATTGGCAAACAGATTCAAATGATGCACAAGAGAGACCTATTTGAACTCTCCTTTCCAGTTTGCATTTGCTAAGAGAAGTAGTACGAAAATAGCAATTTTTGTGTTGTTGTCGATTGTCCAAATTAATTTATTGAAGAAAAGATGCAAAGTTTATGATGCATTTTTTTGTTCTGGAAAAAGCTTTTGACTCAATATCTATAGAGGTGTTAAGTAACAAATTAAAAATGTGTGGTGCAGGAGTCAATTTCATAAGTGCGATTAAATTCTTCTTTGGCCATTATTCAAAAATAATTAAATGTGGAAAGAATATATTTCCACCATTTGACATTCATTACAGTCTTTTACAGGGTGATCCATTGTCATCATACCTGTTTAATTTCATGACATAGATAAACAGTTTATCATAGAGGAGGATGCTTTCATAGTGGAAATATATAATCCATTCAATTCAATATGCAGATGACATGATCCTAATTTCTCCAACTAAAATTGGCTTACAAAGAAAGCTAAATCAGAGTCAAAGTTATTTTTCTCGATTGAAAATTAATCCCATAAAAACATAAATTTTAATATTTCGAAACACCACAATTTTTATATACAAAATAATAAGTTACTGGTTGTTGATGAAATTTTATTTGAGAATACAGTTTACTGCTACTTTATCATTTTAAAAACCACTTTCAAAATGTTAAGAATAAAGTTATCAAAATAATAAATAATCTATTTACAGTCAATAATAAAAATCAACTCAATGAAAAGTCAATTTCAGTTCTCTTCCTCAATTATATTAAACTCAATATGCTATGCTCTTCCAGTGTGGGGAATTGATTGGTTTAACCCCACCTTCAGAAAATTCAATTAATTTAATAAAGAAATTATATTGTCTGGACAGAGCAATTGCTGGTTATGCTGTGTGTCATGACACAAATACACTAAGGCTAGAACCTTTCTTGGTGATAAGGATCATAAAATTTTATAAAAGAATTACTTATAGTAATAATACCCTGATTAATTCTATTTCGGATGAACTCAAAAGAATATATAAGGTAAAAAAGAATAATCATAATAATTTGGTTTAATAAATTTAGTTTATTATTAGCTACATTTGGGATTTCACATGTTTTATTTCAGAGGATGACTGGAATTTTGGATTTACTATTTTAGTACAAAATATTTTTAATAGTGTACTGAACCAAGAAAGAAATAGATTATCAAATTCAAAATATCATCCAAGGTATGTAAATAATTTACATTTTCCTCTGTCAAGCAGTTTTATTAATTTACAAATTCCACACAAGATTAAGAGGTTTTACATGAATTTAAGATTAAACTGTTTTTACATATTAGTGAACAGGTATTATTTGGATATTAAACATAGTTTGTGTAAATTATGTCAAGAACAATTTTCAGTTTATCAGATTTATTCGTGTGGGCAGTGAAAAGCTTATGTCTTGTTTATAAGCAGTACAATTTTATAAACAAGACATAGTCTTGTTTATAAATACGATCTACCTGATATTCTTACCAGCATAGAGGTATGAAGGAGTACATGTCGAGAGTTGATATTTGGCACAGAGTATTAGGTGCCCAAATCATTTGCGCATAAAAAAATTCAGACTCGTAGTTAGTCAGGGGACCAGAATCAAGTCAAAATAAAATACAAAATGGCAACCCTCTTCTACAAACAGGCAAAACAGCCACCTCACCCACTGAAGTCAAGTAGGGGAGAGTACCACCCACAGTCATTCTAAGAAGTGAACTCTGACCTTAGGACTGAACATGTAATTTCTTCTATGTTAAATAAAATTTGTAATCTAATTTTGCAAATTTGGGAGTGCTTCAAATATGACATTAAAACAGTTTTATGTCATTACAAGTGGGTTTTTTTAACATTATCTAGTATAGTAAAACCATAGGACCGATAAAAATTTGACGTTATAGCCTATTAGGGTTGTCATTATATTCGATGACATTACAATCGGGTTAAACTGTATATTATTTGTGCAAAATAAAAAAATAATTTTGGACGATACAATAGCCACAATTATTTTTTTCAAAAATGGGAACTTTTCATTATGCAGCAACAAAAATTCAACCCGGGCTGACATGCAAAGGTTAATTTCATCGAAGATGCATTGTGGATGATCTCGTGGTCATGGCCGACGAGGTTTGAACAATCGTGCCCAAAAGCAGCAATATCAAAGAAGACAGGAGAATGAAAACGAGACCTGCCTTGAGCATCAAAGTGATTCTGTGTCCGAGACATAGTCTTGTCCCAAATACGGTTTTGCCATTTTACTTGTTTTCCAATAATATTAGAGCATATTAAATATATAGTTTAAATGATAAAAAAAAATAAAGCATTTTGAAAGAAAACATATTGAAAATGTTTCTTACCTTTGGTTTATGTATTGGTTTACTGGGTGGTTTGGGAATTGGTGGAAGAGGTACAGTCCAATTTTGATATGGATCATATACTTTTGCACATTTATCACCCAATAATATTCCACATATTTCTCTTGGACTTAGCACAACTTTAGCAAAGACTTGTACAACTTCATTCTTTAAAACATTTTTAGAAAATTTCAAATTAAAAACAAATTTGAATTTATTCAGTTTTTATTTAAATTACATAATAAATAATATTTTTATATCATCTATATGCCCTATAAGTATTTGTAACAAAGTATAAATTTATATATAAAAGTTGTATATAATAAACATCTTTTTGTATTTTCCTCTTACTTTAAAGGCATTTGTGATTCCTTTGCATACTCTGGCTGTTTCAATTTTGAAAGTTGTACAAATAATATCAGCAAAATGGCCTATTTCATCTTCAGATTTTCCTTCTTGAACTAAATGCTGAAGTATTCCTACACCAAATTTACATGCTAAGCATGTTGCTGAGGAAGTAATTCCTTCTTTCATTTCCCTTAAAACCTTTTAAATTAAATTCTAAATTAGTTCTCAAATTTATTATTCTAATAACTCAAACAACTGACATAAATTTAATTATATTAAATGACAATTTGCTTAAAATAACTCTTATGTTTTAGTTACCTACCTTTTTTATATTTAACATATGAAACCCAAAAGATATGACATTTGAGAAGAAATTTTTCTCTTTCATCACAGATGTATACATATTTTCTTTGTTAACATTCTTTTCAAAAATGTCATCAGCATAATTGTATATAAAATTAAACTCTTCCTCTTTAGTTTCATTCTTACTTGGTAGATATATACATTCAATTAGAATGATCTGGCAGATGATTACAATGAGCAATGATGCCCAAAACTTCATTTTGGATCAAGATCTCACAATCTGAAATGCCATAAAAATTCAATTTTATCAATTTGAATTCATATATATAGCCAATAACATAATCTTGCAAGCTATCCGAATGAGAACAAACAGCATTTTTTGATAAACAGAAAATTTACACTGATAAATGTAATCAATAAGAATCATCCACACAGTTCATAAACAAGGTCAATTCAAAAATGATTAAGTTCAGTGATAAAAATTAAAAAAACAAACATTGTTATATAACTTCTCATATTAATCTTAAAAAATATAAATACGACAGGCCTATATTTGATATCAGATAAAAAAAATTTAAAATCTTTAAGACACTTCAAAATAAGAAAATACTTTTCATAAAATTAAATGTGATATTATTTATTATACAAAATAGAACAATTACCAAGATAATGCAAATACTTGATAGTATATAACTAAACTATGTACTGTACAGTACATATTTACACACATGACTATGAGTGAACTTTAATTTCTTCAAAATTACTTATTCTATTATTATCTAGACGAGTTAAAATAGACTTTAAAATTGTGAATAATGTTATATATATATACATACATATATACAAAACACAGATTACATTTTATATTTATATATACATATAATATAATAATATTATATATAATAAAAAAATAAAACCTTTTTATTTGTATAGAATCAAACTGATTTTTTTCTGCTTTTAAACAATTTATTTGTTCACAAATAATTTCATTGTTTTGAATTAATTGCTTTTTTGGTTGACTTTTATTTTATTTTTATTATTTAGAAAAATAATCTCATTATTATATAACCATATTACACAATAATAAAAAAATATAATAATTTATACATAAAAGTATTTGTAACAAAAATAATAAATCTTAATAAATTAAAAAATTTTTTCTTTATAAATAAATAACTTTAAAATCAATTTTTATAATAATCTTATCTTACATAAAATATATCATGCTTTTATTATTCTATACTTTTAGTATATCCTATTTACTGTGTAAAGTTTCTTCTAATCCAATTTCTAGCATATCTTTCTTAACAATTTGTTCAAGATTCTTCTTATCATAATAACTCCATTTCATCTCTCTTCAAAACATGATTATCTACTTAATCTTAGTTTATCATCGATATCAATTATGCTCAGACTACCTTTAATCAAAGTATTCTTGACTATTTTTCTATGTAACTCCAGTCATCCACTTATGCATTTACATCCAGCTATCTGCATGTTCCAAATCTGCATGTTCCTCCCTCTAATATTCTACTATTCCTATACTACAGTTACATCCTAATTATTGTCCTATAAAATTCCTCTTTTAACACATTATTAAAAAATTACATTAAAATAGTTTAAAAAATTTTAAAAAAGTAAAATTTAAAAAAGTAAAAAGTAAAAGTAAAATTGTAAAATTTTATTATATATTACAGGTACTACTTGTTTTCCAAT